AAAGAACGTGAACATAAATAGATTGGTTATTACACTTTTTACAAGACTTTCTATGAGGAAGGTTTCTACTTCATTCAGGAGAAAATGAACAAATGAGTAGCATCTAATTTTTTATTATACTTACTACAAAACAGAATTTGTATGTAGGGCATAACAGTAACCTAAACTATTACACTGATAAACAATTTGTTACAAGAAACCTATAGCCTCATAAAGGCAGTACCATTAATCTTTCCATAATACATATAGGACATTACTGTGCAGTTGCAAAAATAAAATCTTGCAAGTGCTGTATAGGAAAGTGTCTGGTACTCTGAAAAGGAAAAGAACTGCCAGATGTAGTTTGAAGTCCAAAGACTGGAATGGAAGATCAGAAGAAAGAGATAAGCAGTCTGTTAAGGAGAAAACTTGAAACATGTAGTAGAATTAAAATATTATATGGATATAAATGAAGTGCAAATTCTCTAGGTAGCCCTGAAAGTTAGATGAATTTGAAGGTGAAGATAACAAGTACTAGTGAAAAGACTACGAACTGAAATGACAGTTGAGAGAGAGGGAAAAATAATATGAAGGCAGACTGATAAGGAAGAGATTCAGACAAATCAGGCATAAAAGATAAGCACACAGAGAAATATTATACTGATGAGGCTTAAGGGGAAAAAAAAAAAAAAAAAGCTTCTGTAAGTACAGCAAGCTGAACTATAAAGGAATGAAAACATTTACATGGGAAAGGAAGGACCAGGCCAGCACTGACAACTATAAGACAACTGAGTACATGAATGATGAATGGGGTTGCGGAAAAGGAAGGAAAGGACTTGATGAATTCCGAGCAAAATTCAGGACATTTTTCTAAACTGAATTTCAGGTTTCTGTTAAGACAGCTAGGAGTCTGAAAGTAAGTTTGATGTAGCTGATTAGCTCCAAAAGAGTAGCTGAGACTAAAAAAAAAATGAAAAAGTTGCTCAGTGAGAACGAAGAAGAAAAATGAGGGAATCGTAAACAAAATGGTAGGAGCTATCACTGAAAAAAAGCAATGGTTGAAGTATCATTTGAGAAATAGGAAAAACAAAGAAAGAAATTAGCTCATTTAGGAAAAAAAAACCAACAGCCTCTAAATGTATTTTCTTAGAAAAAGACATCTAGGACTGCAGGTAGTAAGAACTATCCTGGTACTGGTAATTATTGGAAGAGTGTGGAAGATGTTGGAATGCTTAAACTGGATTTGCTCTTTATTTAAAAAAAAAATCATATGAAAGCTGAATTGACAAAGATATTTTAAATATTTAGATAAGAAAATGTGAGTTTTTGAAGAAGACACTGAGACATACTGAAAGGAAGTTACTCCCTTTTGAAGAAAAAAAACCCACCCAAAGTTAATAAAATCTTTTGCTGTAGTCTCCTACTCTGGCAATGAAAACACCAGAAAACTGATTGGGTCTTCATCTGTGCAGGCTGATTAGAGCATAACCCTATTGTCTGGAACAATATGGAAGGTAGCTAGAGGAAATAAAATTCACAGAAAACAAAACACACAGTCAAAAAATATACATTATCAAGATATTGGTGTCTTATGCAGTAATTACAATGAAACAGTAAAACATAGAAAGAACCACATGTGAAAGCTAGTAAGATTTTGCTATTAATCGGAGTACAGTATTCTGACAGAAATTGCCTAAAAAACATATGGGAGCATTAAGGATGCTGTACTAAATCTTTAGTCAATTGCTTTGACACACATTTCAATCTTGATGGCGTTTTATGTTGTGTGCTTTGCCAAGCATGGACTAACACTGCCAAGGACTGTATCAAAATGAAAAAAAAATTTGCATTTTTCAATTTCATTTTGATCAAAACAGTGTAAGCTGTTGCCGAGAAACATTTAGACAGTTTTACAATTCAGTATATGTACACGCAGTGTAGTACACTACAGTTAATGTATTACCAACTGTAGTACACACAGTTGCAGTTCAAATACTTGCGTACATATATTGTTAACAAAGTATTTAGAACGAGATTATTTTTGAGTCCTTGTTTTGCAGCCCAGGCTACGTTGGAAGCACAGAACTCTGCAGTAAAACTTCTGTAATATTATATAAGTTTGAAGGACAATTTCTTACCTCCAGCAACTAGCCCAGATTCTCCTAATTGAATTGCTACCCCGAAGCCACCAAGCTTTACCGGGGCTGAATTCTCTTTTGAGGCAAGCAGTACACAGTGTGGCTGAAAACAACAATGAAAAAGCAAATTATTATATTATTTGAAAAGTACAATTGGCACCTTAGGATTTACTTTCAAAAATTTGCAAACAGAAGTCATTATTTTTTTTAAAGAAATTCTTGATTTGTAATATTTTTTGGAATGAGATCCTCTCACTAAACCTCTTTATGGGTGAGTATCTTGTAGTAGCACTGGTAATGGGAGGATGGTTGGACTAGATGATCTGTAGATCCTTTCCAACCTTGTGATTCTATGATTCCTTCTCGATTGGCTTCCTTTTTACTTGCCCTAGGTATAGCAAAAGCATTTCAAGACTTAACAGAACTCACAAGGAACACAAAGTAAAATCACAACAACATGGAGATAATCAATGTTGAAATTTTCTTTCTTAGTATTAGTTTTTATTTTCACTCTTTATTTCACTTGTATGCTTTATACTGTTCTAGTTCTTCAGTAGATACATCCTGCCCTATGACACAGTGCGTGTGATCTTATTCTTAACACTTTCAGCCCCAACCACAGTAGGAGATCACTTCCCAGCTGCATAGAAAAAACACTGCTGTGATATATCTATTGAGTTACAGGATAAACTGCTTAGGTATCTAAATCATTCCATGCAAAGTCATCCATATTTTTTCCACTAATTATATTAAGACGCAATATATAAAAATACAATAATAGCATTATTTGGAGGTGTGGTGACTGATGTGAGAGCCTACTTAAAAATGAAATATAGTACTCAATGCAGCAATTAATGTAGAATGACTTCCTATATTTACATAGAGCCTCCATTTGCACAGTCAGCTCTGTTATTTAAAAGGATGTCAAATCTGTCTACTTCTACTACTTCTTGAGAAAATGTTACTGCTTACACTGCAAAACAAGGAACTTTAAATTGGTTACTTCAGATTTGTCCTTGTTCTCTAAGAAGGTAAGCATGTGCTGCCTTAAGTTTAGTTTTCTTTTACACTTGTCCTCCAGCAGCAAAGAACCTGAAAGAACTCAGCTGCTCACTACAGAGAAGATCTAAGGTTTTGGGGGGTAACATAACTAAAGTGCTCAAATCTGGAACAGGAAAATTACAACCTCCCTGCGTGATCAACCAATTAAGCTGTGAAGGAATCCATAAACAATTTCCTTCTGCACTAGCTGTACTTAATGGTTTTAATTTAGGTTGATGACCATTTTGTAAAATACCTACAGCTAATACTCAGACTTTTGAAAGTTGTAATTATCATTATGTATTAGAAGCCTACGAAACCTTATCTTACACAAAGTCTAAGCTACGTATTCACCGAGGTCATGAACTGTTACCTTTGATGCTTCCTTAACATTCATTTGCTGTTATAGCTAAGCACTCAGATTTTGTGACATGACTGTAAATACCTGATAGAAAATATATGAACAAACCTAAATCTTCCCAATGCTTCTGGTCCTACTAAATATCAGGATGAAATTATGACAACATTGTAACATCAACCTCAACCCCTTTTAAAAGTCCAAAAGAAATTTGCAGAGTCTCAAACAAGCTTGATTCTCAGACGGATGACAAGTTAAGAATGTTAACGCGGACACTCATTTCAACTACTAAGGAAAATACAGTCAGGATAATATTCCTCAGTTATTACATTTGTGCTAACTCATACTGGGACTTCTAGAACCAATTTTTAAATTTGCATTTTAAAAATGTAAATTTTAAATCTCTTTTATTTAAAACAGGATATATCCTGTTTTAAATAGTATTACCAGGTGGTATTGAGTATTTTATTTCTGCCTTATTGAAACTGTTAAGCTGTTCCAAAAGTAATGCCTCCTGTTATATTTTGTTGGCCCATGACATCAGAGCTGGATGTGGGAGGAATGATGGTAAAGGCTGAACCTCCTTTCAGATCCATTCAGCTCCATTTTGTTGCCACGTGACAGATGGCAGCAGAGGGGCAGCCTGACACACTGACATCTGACATGGAAGCGAAGATGAAGCAAAGGTGAATTTCTGCATGCGGAAAAAATTGTACCTATTGACACTCATTGACTTTTGCTGAGCTTTTATGGAGACCAAACAGTGGGTGTGAGCACAGTGAGGCAGTGTGTGGTTTCAGCAGTGGTGACAGCCACCAGCAGGTGCAGATTTTCCCAAGTGTGGCATGCAGGCTCTTGGTCATCACTGGCAAAAAATGCATATCAAATGGTTGTGAGAATGTTGAAAAATAGTGTTTTGTAGCTGGGAATTTTCTCTATCAAATAGTGTTATTGTCTTCTTTGACGTGTTTTTTCATGCAAATAAACAGGAGGCATTTCTTTCAGAGTGACCTATGTATCACAGCTGCTAGTTTAAGTGAAAAAAAAATCAACCTCAGATTTCTCACTTTGAGCAAGGTGGATGAAAGCTGCACCAGGGTAACAAAAATGTGTCACTTCAAGCGTGGCTTCACTCTGTACACGAATGTTGAAGAAGTGATACTACTTTCATGCCAGTATCAAGATGTAGTGTACCAAGACAATTGTTTACCAAAAAGGAAAACGCTGAGGTTGGTCACAAGAAACAAAGTTTCTATGAAAAAAATCCCAATCTCCTATTCAGTAAAAGTTTATGATATAACCAGCAAAGTCCAAGTTAACACCAAAGTCAATCTTTCCAGTAAGTTGGCTTTTGCTACTTCAAAATATCTTTAAGAAGTAGTTGCAACACTAGTTCAAACTTCCCCTTGTAGCTAATTGCACTGCGTCAGCTGATTCTCAAGCTTTCATAGAGAAGCTGGTACTCCAGCTTTCTAATAAGAGGACATGCATACACGTTACTCCTCCCTCTCTTCAGCAGTGGTTTTCAAAATCAGCAGAAGTTCTTAAAACACAAATGGTAAGTGGCTTCTTTTATACTTAATAAAACAAATTCTTCTTACAATTTATTTTAATTTCGAAGGTGCTAATGACCTTTGTAATCAATTGGCATGGAATTACGTAGTTCTCAGTTTAAGTATGCATTCCTACTTACAGATGACAAAACTTAGGCTAGTTTCTTAGTTGTGTTTCTGAAGTATCTGCAGTGTTACTGATTTTTTTCCTGCCCTCATTCACCTAAATCTTACAGATTATGCAATTCATGATGTCAAGCATTTTTTACAAAAAAATCAACATAAACATAACATTTAATATAGCTGAGAGGTTTCAATGTGCATTTGAAGGTACCATATTTCTTTAATCAGACACAATTTTTGTAATTACTTTAGCCCATACCATACTAAGTGGCTAATATGAAAAGACAGTTGTACTTGTAAAACTGGAACATAGTGCCCACATCTAATGTAACCTTAAGATCATTCAACATGAGATGCTATAATACTTCATTATTAATATCCTCTCAATAATTCAGATTCTGTATGTACATCACTTTTTACTAAGCCTCTTATCTAAAATGTTGCAATTTTCACCACCTTACCCATATCAGACATTTTTAAGACCTGGAATGTTTTTTTTTCTCCTTCTTATTGTTGCTGGAGATCTACATTTAGAACACCCAAAATAATTTTCTTTTCAGATTAGGGGAATATTAGCTTGTCTCTCTAAAAAAAATTGAAATAAACTTATTTACATAATCTTTTAACACCACGGCATATAAACTTAGGGAGAAAAATGTATTGCTAATAATTGGTTGTTAACTACCTCTCTAAACAGCTAACTATTGTTCTGCTATATTGATTAAGAGTTTGCTTTTGGTTTCCTCTCATTAGTCAAAGCTGATTTTTATCTCCCAGATTATACCTTACTGGTGAAAAATATACTCTCAGTTACGTTAAAAACTTTATGAAAACAAGGGAAGATATGAAAACATCTGTTACTGAAGCAATGTAATTTTCAAGCTAATATCAGATTCCTTGCATAATCCTGATTTACAAACATTCCACAAAAGGAAAAAAATACCTTACCAATACCAATGACACAAATAGTAAAAAAGAAACTAATATAATAGTGCTGACTCAGTGCTATTTATATTACAGAAATGCTTTGTAGGCAATGAAGTGTAACAGTGTTCCTGTGATGAGTTAATATTTACAATTTTTCTTCATATCCTGACAGAACAGCTAAGAAAATCCTCACAAATGGCTGCACCTTCAGCTGATTTACTGACCGCTCTTCCATACACGAAAGCTTTTGGGGGTAACCAAAGTGATCTACCCACGAATGCATCAGAAATTCTGCCCAAAGCAAGCTGTGATTTAGAAGACCATGCATTGTCACTTGCTCTCATACTTTTTTACTCTGTTATTTTTGTCGTTGGATTGGTTGGAAACATTATAGCCCTGTTTGCATTCCTGTGCATTCACCAGAAAAGGAATTCCATCCAAGTTTACTTGCTAAACGTAGCCATCGCAGACCTTTTGCTGATCTTCTGTCTTCCCTTCCGAATACTGTACCACATTTTCAACAACACATGGATGTTTGGATGGATTTTATGCAAAATTGTGGGAACTCTATTTTACATGAACATGTACATTAGCATAGTACTGTTAGGACTAATTAGCCTAGATCGTTACGTAAAAATAAATAAGTCTGTGAAACGACCTAAGATGTTAAATACTACCCGCAGTATACATATTTGTTGCATTGTGTGGGCAGTTGCACTAACAGGATTTTCATTAGTAGTTGTACCATCTCTCTTCACAAGTGAGGTCAGCAATTCTACCTTGTGCTTTCATTATCGGCATAAGAAGAACGCAATAACAGAAGCAATTTTAAATTATATTATTGTCATCATTTATTGGACAGTTTTTCTCCTTTTGATACTTTCTTATGTTAAAATTGCCAAGAACCTACTGAAAATTTCAAGGAAAAGAGCTAATTTTCCCAATGCAGTAAAATACACCCAGACAGCAAGGAATTCCTTCATTGTACTCATTATTTTCACCATATGTTTTGTTCCATACCACATGTTTCGATTTGTCTACATTACATCACAGTTACAAGAGCCATCCTGTTACTGGAAGGGAATAATTCACACATGCAATGAAGTTATGCTCATATTTTCATCTTTTAACAGCTGCTTAGATCCAGTTATGTATTTCCTAATGTCCAGTAGCGTCCGTAAGACTGTCTTCCAACTTATTTGTAGAAGAATTCACGGAGATTCAAGTGTGACTCTGGAAAGTACTTCAGAAATAAAACTTGGACAATATATGCAAGAGAGATTTTCTACTACCACTCCGCATTCAAGTTCTGTAAAGAAGAAGTCTGACTTAATCAAGTCAACAGATAACAGCTTCTCTCAGTGTCACTTTCAGACATCAGCTTAAGATGCGCCAAATACAATAACTGATGGATACTAACCTCGTTTCATTCTTCCCATTACAAAATGAGAAGTCTTACTTCTGTTTGTGAAAATGAGAAGAAACTTTTCAGAATTATTTCCCTTTTGTTTATCCAAGAAAACAAAACAGGAAACCTCCTTCAAGTTATCTCAGGCACCTTCTGTGGGACTAACCTAGAACACTAAGTCTTTGGGGAGATGTCCACAAAGTGGTTTAAGCCTGTGTAAGGATTCTTGTATACAGATATTAATATGAGCAATTTGTAAACAGATGCATTTTGCAGAAGTAATGTGTCCTATTCAAAAGAGCTACGTGAATCATTAAAGCCTTTATGTACTGTCTGCTTTAACAGGTTTCAAAGAGATCAGCACTGAACTGTATTTACAGAATTTTTGCAAGGAAATATTTGAGAATTTAGCAACATATCTGGCTCAAAAATGAGGTGAAGAACACAGCTGCCATTGATTCAGTTATAATTACTGGAGATTTGCTTCATTAAATATAAAAACCAAAATAATCAAGCCTCCTTTATTACTCAAGCCCTTTATTATATTTTCAATGTTTTAATGAATGTCAAGGTTGAGTACTCGAGGTAAAGTTAAGCACTGGTTAGAAATCGGTTAGAAATTTGTGAAGGAGAGATGACATATGGGTATTTTCAGCTAGTTAGGATTTCCTTCAAACTCTGAGCAACAAATTTGGTGACTTCAGCTACACAAAGTATTTCAACAAGGAAAAAACTGAGCATACGCAGAACAGAAAAGTTGGCTATTGTGAACACTGGAAGCATCAGCTCTGTTCTTTGGTCAGGATCAGTCATCTAGTCTATTTAAAGGCTTATGGATTCAGGCACAAAGTAAAATTTTGAACTGTAAGGTTGTTTAAAATAGGTGAGCTGAAAGTGGAGCTTGTTAAGACCAAAAGACATGCAAACAGACACTTATACTGAGAGTAATTTACATGCCTAGCACAAGACAGAAAGATGAACTAATTAGATAGTAGATGTTAGGCACTATCACTGCAAAAGAAGATTCTATTACGCTTAACACATAGCAACCAATATTGCTCAGGTTAACTGAAAGACTTTAATATTAAATATGATTACCAATTCTCTAATAGATCACATGGCTTTATACCTAATATGTCACAAAATGTGAAGATTTTTAATTATACAGCAAAATATTCTGATTTTATAGAAGCTAGTTATAAACTGTACATGCTTTACAGATTGTAGAGAAGGAGCACCAGAAGCCATGTATAATATCAACAGATGATTTAAAAAATAAAACAAAATATTAAAGAGTAATACAGTCCCCAGGACCACATATTACATTACATACTACTTCACTTTAATTAACCTCTGTGCATAAGGAATGAAAAGCATATGTGATTCAAAACTTGAATGAGATTCAGAAGCTACAGTTTAGTGTTTATATTAGGCAATTGCAGCACCTACAAAAACATATAAAATTAGGCAAGCTTGGGTAGATAAGGTGCCCAGGGAAAAGTGAATAAATTTGTTTGAGAAAAAACATCTACCACCTATCAGCTCTAGCAGTGCTGTTACAGAGGAGCCGGCAAAGGAGCTCTCCAGTAGACTTGAGAAGCATCAGGACAAAGGGGATAATGTTGTACATGGACTCTAGCAAGATCATTCACAAAAGGTCCTAAAGAAATTAGAATATTAGATGATATTTCTTATTTTGGAACTAGTTAAAAAGTGGAAATAAAGCTTTAAAAATAAATATATATATTTTTTCCTTCAGGACATTACCCAAGAATATCCAAATAGATTCATTTATCAACTCTGTTGAGTGCTATCTAGAATGAATGAGACTAAGGAGATGACAAAGTTTTTAAGCAATACACAAATATTCAAGGTAGTCAATCCTAAAAAAGGGGTATGATATCAAACTCTGTTCAACAGCAATAAAGCAGCAAAGTCACTATTAAAACTAGGAGAAAAAAACTGAGAAGCCATCATTACGATATTCCATAATTTATATGGTACAGTTTCTATGCAGACTACATAAAACAAGTAAATGCTTGAGCTCAAAAACTGAAAGAGGACGCATTAGGTCCGTAACACCAGGTACGGTGTGTAAAAGGGGAAACAGGAATAACTAATTGTATGCTCTTTGTCAGAGTCTGATATTAAAGGAATAGCAGCTACAACAACAGCAACAACAACAAAAACAACAAAATAAGCAGATGACAGATTTTCACAAGTGTGCAAATCAGTGCTTCAAGATGTCAAAGGCCTGAAGCATCAATTGGCTCAGAACAGGATCTGAAACTAGACAGTATTGTCATGTAGGAAAGAACCACGACTGAACAAATTCCAAACACAGGCACTTTTACTATGTTTTAATATTTAATCTTTTTTTTTCTTTTTTCTTTTTTTCTGAAATCAATTTTACCAGCTTCTGAGGGTATATAGATGGCACTGCAAGACATTATAGTCAAGTGCAAAGAATTTGGAAGCTCCTGGGAGATCTGCTGAAAATTACAGTGTGACATTTCAGGTGATCCCATCATTAGTCAATTCAGTAGTGTTACTATGTTTGTTACTTCTCATCTCAGCAATGCTTCCTAAATGATAGGAGGGCCAAATACAGTAATGTATTGAAACTTCAACTGAATTTCAACATAAAATACTAAGAGACTTGCTAAATAATCCAGGGTCCATCCTCTTGATTCTCCTTTTTCTCATGGCAAACTGCAAATCTGATTGTGATGCTGTATTTGTACCACACACACTTTAAAGACTCTGAATAGCATAAGCCACGAAACAAAACTGCATGCCAGAAACAAGCTAATAACTTTAATTATTAGCAAATTCAATTGTATCTGACTTGAATAACCCATTTTTATTTCTATACTGAAACTCACTCTTATTACCTTTGGGACTTGCAACTTGGCATCTTCTGCTAGGTAAGAAAATTATAGCCCAAATCTGAAACCTTAATTGAACAACCTCTTTCACAATATCCATCAATGAAACCACAAGAGAGAAATATAACTCACACTACTGAATCATACAATACTGATAAATAAGTAAGAGTCACATTATTCCTTATACTGGAAAAAATACATACGTGAACACCTTAGTTTAATACTCTCTCTGAAATCACACACAGAATCAGGGTGGGTAGAAGGAGTTTAGTTGCACAGCATACATAAAGCATACAAGTTAAAATAAACCAATGTTTTAAATGTATTTTCAACACATTCTCTGTAAGGCTGAGACTCTTTGGCCAGCCTTTTTTCCATCTCAGAAATATTCCCTATTACTGAGAGCACCCTGCCAAGGGAATCCAAGAAAACAGAGAAGGTGCTACAGAGCTGTTAGCACTCACAGCTTGTAAATATTAATAGATAGGAAAAATCCATGTACAGAAATTGTTCAGACTTCATGAGGGTGGGAATAGTTGAGGGGAAAGGATGAAGATGAAAGAAACCTTAACATTCAGACTCCATTGTTAAGAGTGTTAAGCATAGATATAAGAACATGAATAGAAGAGAAATGGCTGAGTATCAAACAACTGAAAATGAGATAAAAATGAAGATGAAAAAACGCTAGGGTTTACTTCTAAGCTTGTATTTTTGCAAGCTGAATCAATTAAAGTATACCAGAAAGGTACATTATGCTTCATGCTGCCCCCAGGGATTATCTTGCTTTTTGCTGTAAATGATGAGTACTGGTTCCTTTAAATTTGCATACAGAGATGGTTAGTACATCTTTGCTCCTATTAAAAAACAAGGTCAGCTACTTCGGAATATCTCAAACCACAGATACAGATGACTGTGTGCTTTTAAAATGAAAACATACCCACTGTTTCTCACACACAAAAACATGTGTATTGTCAACAACACATTAAAAGTCTGATGAAAATACTCGACAGGGGACGTAACAATGTTCCTTATCAGCAAGAAATTCATTTTGGAGACAAAGCTTTCCAATTTGCAGTCAAGAAAATCTACCTTATGTGCATCAGTTTTGCCTTTATCACCATGCTTCAGATTTTTATTTTTGCTTTAGTACTTTTGCAATTTCTCAAAAGCTTAAGAGCCTCATACGAAAGCTAAAAAGCTCTTACGAACATTTAACTTGAAAATACATGAGTTACAGCACAGTGAAAGAAAACCACAGAGAAAGCTTCCTCTTTATCTGCAATGATCAGAACAGTTCTCATGTTAAAAACTGTTTTTGAAAAATCAAAGTAAAAATTATCATGCCCAGTAAACAGTCACCGAATTTGGAAAATCAAGAATAGTAAAAGAGACCTCTGGAGGCTGCACAGAGTATTTCATCAGGGAAGAAATCTGAAGTTTTTAGCACTGAAGTCCTGAAGTCTAAAAATATCAAAAGATGATTTTTTTAAGTACTGTCAACTGTAACTTTATGCTTTCCAGTTTAAAAGGTATTGTTTAATTAGCGATTCTCTATGCAAAACAACTACCCAGAGCATATAAACGTGCTTATTTAATGACAACCAAATAACTGAAGGTATGGGTGCAATATTATCCCTTTTCTATATCACAAAGGATCCTAGAAATACCGGAGTTATATTGCAGATTCTCACAATTCATCAAACAGTATAAGAACTACAATTTTGGACCTATTCTGCTGAATTATAACGGCAATTCTAAAGCTGCTGAAAATAAATCATCAATGAACAGCAAAAAAACAAAACCAGTCTAACAAAGACCAAATTAAAATCTGCCATCTCTTTCATATCCACTGATTCAGCATAGTACTCAGCTCAAGCTGAGTAGATTTAAACATGAACTTAGAGAACTTTGATTTGGTCAGTATTTCTCACAATATTAAATATGCTGCTCCAAAAGTAATGCCTCCTATTTATTTCCATGGAAACTATGAGGGAAAAAGAGCACAGTGCACAGTAACACTACTTGATAGAGAAAATTCGCAGCTACAAAACACTATTTTTCAAAACAGTTATCACCATTAGTTATGCATTTTTTTGTTTGCCAGCAATGAACAAGATCCTGAATATCATGCTTGAAAAAATCTGCATGGCTGTCAAGAATGTGACTGGATTTCTCACATCTCTGTCACCACTGCTGAAACACACCACCCACTATCTCACCCTGTTCACATCTACCGTTCAACCTCCATAAATATTCAGCAAGCATCAATGAACTTCAATGGGTACAATTTTGTCAGCATGGAGGAATTCAGTGACACACCTTTGCTTCATCTGCACTTCCATTTCAGGCGCCATTGTGTCAGACTGCCCCTTTGCTGCCATCTGTCACATGGCAGCAAAATGGAATGGGATACTGGCAGGAAGGTTCAACCCCTACTGCTATACAACCAACATTTGCCTTTGACCTTGTGGACTAATACAATAAGAGGCATTACTTTCAGAGCTGCTCTCATAAATACATCTACTGAGGTATATAAATATATACGACGAAGTCTCCTCAGACCCTTCTCCAGGCTGAACAAGGCCAGCTTCCTCAGTCTTTCTTTGCAGGCTAGGTGCTCCAGCCCTCCCATCATCTTCATGGCCTCCTCTGTACCCACTCCAACAGCTTCACATCCTTCT